TATCAAATTTGAAGACAGCTAAGAAAGAATCAAGAAGGTTTTTTCAGTTAGTAACTATACCTGAGTTTTGCCTTGTATATGTCGATAATTTCCTTTTTCTCTTCAGGAGTAGAGTACCAGACAACACTCGGGACAACAAAATAAGAGAGTTTGCGACATATAGGACAAGCTCTTAACGTACTGTTGACATCCATTCCCGAAACAGGAGCACTGCTGCGCCAATTACGAATGCATTGTATACAAAACGGATGATCGCACTCGGTCAACAGCCCAAACTTCCTTTCCCCTGGAGTAGCCTTTGACAAGATACGATCCAAACACACGCTACACTCGATATCTTGACTTTGTTTCAAAGCCTCAATGTGCTTTTGCATCTTCTCACATTCTTTAGTGTGCTCTTCTCGTTCTTCGGGTCTGAAAGGATGCAAACACTTCTTGCCACAAGTATTGCAGAGGTCTCCATGCATATGAGGACACTGGTTTCCTCGAGGGCAATCACCAGCTGCAGCAAAAGAGCAGATCGGGTACTCTCTTGGGTGGATACAATGGACGTTAGGCGATTTATCACCGTCGGGTGTTCCTTGTTGTTGCAGATTCCTAGAGGGAGTGGTGGATATAGAGCGATCCAGAGACTCAGAATCTAAGCTAAGAGGAACATTGGAAGCAGCTCTGACATGATCGTATCTACATCTACTTCCGTACAAACATATTCCTTTCTGATAGAATGTGCAAACCTAATTACATAATTTACATATCCAACAGTCAATTTTTTGGAATCAAAAGAAAGAATCTTGACAAGAGATAACATTACATTATTGGGCGGATCCTTAGAATCATGGGAAAATTCACAATTTTCGCCTTTCAAGCACGAGCCATGGACAAAGAACTTGCACAGTATCCTACAAAAAAGAAATCAATAGAATCATACCCAGAAACCAAAGCATCAATCTTTATCCGAATAAGATAATCAAAGAAACAGAAAATTGAAGAGTTTGTGATCGAGAAGTTGGGGATACCTATCGGACATTTGGGGATTGTGCGGAGAGAAAAAAGATTCAAAGTTTGAAGAATGACAAGGAAGAGAGAGCTTTATGTGAAGAAATTGAATTTGTACGGTTTCCAATTGTTGAGGACCAAGCAGAGAGATTTTTACCCCAAAGTTTTTGAGATAGAGCGCGCTTCCTCCACCTCCTCTTTCTTTCATTTACTAAAATATCCTTTCTCTTTTCTTTTTGGAAATTTTTGACCATTTTTTTAAAGTTAAATGTGATACATAAGAAATTTCTTTGACGCCTTCTTAGTGGAATGAAAACAAACAAGTTTTAAAACACACACTTTCATCATATGATTCAAGCGTCTTACTATTATTACACAAGACTACATCATAATAATACAATACCGCCAGACAAGACCATCTCTCTCTCTCCCTCTTGCCTTTTATGTACATTATATATATTACACACAACAAATCAAGTATACATTCTCTCTTTCTCACACACTCACACACACAAACCAAATCCTCAGATTCGAAATTCACAAACTCGGAGTTACCGAACCAGTTTATAATGCTGTATCTCAATCATGTCATGTCACACAAACTCCACCTTCACGAGAAGCTTCACGGATTTGTACTTCTCTCCTTTCCGGCTATGTAAAGGAAACGATCTTATTCCTCCGCTTAGCTCCCAAACCGGTAAGCATGTCTGTCCTCCGAAATCATCTTTCTCTGACATGTCATACTCATGCACTTCTAATCTCAGTAGAGCCAGCTCTGGAACAGTTAAAGGGAACTCAAACACCTCATCCCAAGCTGGTATCCAATTATCCTCCAGTGTTTTCGTCTTCTTCATTATTGTATCCCCTGGAACTCCAGCTATCCCAACCTGAATATGTATCCATGTTCAAATTACTATATTGCAATCTAAGAGACAAGGAGCAGTTCTATCTCAAAACATTTTTGGTGAGGTTTAAAGGAATCAAGATTTACCCTTGTATAGAAGTCAGGCGGTGAATATTGATCGAAGTGGGTATGGCGGAAGTCAAAATACCAGCCTTCTCCCATGTATATAGTTACCTAAGGTTGATAGAAGAATAAGATCACCGAGTTTTATCGGATTTGAATTGGCAAAAGCAAGACCAAACAGATATCTCACCCTAAGTGTTGTTTTTACAGGTAGAGTAACTTTTGGGTCAAATATCTCACTATCCGAACCACTTTTCAGCAGAATATCAGGTTTCTTGATGTAGCCACATCCGCCATTGGCTCTAAACATTCCTTGCATTAGCCATAATGATCTTCCGTACCCCTGTACATGGAAAAAATCACAATAAAATCAGCTGAAGAATAAGGTTGATGTCCTGTAAAGTGATGGAGCCTAGCTTCTCCAAAATAACGAAAAGTTTTACTACTATGTGAAAAGAAGTTGGTAATATAGCAGAATGAGATACCTGCATATTGAAAGCCACCATTTGAGCACCGTGGCTCCAGCCAACCAACGGGTTGTAATTTGATGAAGTAACTCTAGTTCCTTTTGGGTAAATCCTCAGCAAATTGTGCTGAGTAAACCTACACCACACCATGATTAACAGGATTCATACTGAGTTAACAGACTGCAATTATTACTCAGAAACATAGAAACATAATATGTCTATACCTCACAATCTGCTTTGCATATTTTTCTGCTGCCTTTTCAAGTTGTTCTTCGCTTAAGCTAAGGCGTCTAACCTTGTCAGGATCTACCTTTAAACACTCAGTAATTCCGCCTTTTGGTTTCCCAGCATGGATTGCAATCAAATGTTTATACTGGGGTGGTGCATTATTCTTAGACTTGTCTTCATCATCATCATCATCTTCATCATCATCATTTCCATCTACGTCATCCTGCAACAAGAAAGAAAACTAACATCTTTTGTATATGAACACCAACAAAACTGAATGAAGATGATTTGTCTTCGTACACACCTTGGCTTCACTTTTGTTCCTCTGAATAAAGCTTGGAACTTCTCTTCCCCAAACTTCTTCATCACCCAAGGATTTACCTTTCTGCACCACTTCCTCATCTTTTCCTTCCTTGTACTTTTTTGGGGGTTTGGTTGAGATGATAATACGCTTTTTTAAAGAGTTTGGCGATGGGAACTCCTTCAGAGATTCTCCCACAGGAGGAGTAAACAGAATTTCCCCAAATATCTCGGTAACCATCTATCATACAACAAGAACAACACATCTCAAAATTGTTGTACTCAACTATTAAAGCGGCAAAGAAAGAAATGCAAAATAAAAAGCTACCTCAGCAACTTTAGACTGAAGATCTGGAGTAAGATGATCTTCAAGAGTGACAACAACAGGATAGTCGGATACATCAAAGGCATGTGCTCTGATAGCTTTGAGACATTTGATCAACCCCACTGGTGTAGTGAGAGTCCTGTTTAAGAATGGTTCAGTAAACAAGTAAACAAAAAGCACCTAACCTTGACTAGTTTGGAAAGAATTTTAAGTAAAATCATACATTCCGTGAAGAACATCAATATCGTCTTTTTTGGAATTCGGCCATATATCCAATTCAATCACTCTAACACCTTTCTTCAACGCATCTATAATAGGTACCTCACTACAATCACTGCTCAGCTGATTACCAGTCAGATAAGAATTATGACCAGTGAATATGAAATAATGCGATATAGGAGCATCCATGTCATGATGCACCTGAAAAACACAACAAATTCATTAGAGATATGTCTAGAATCAATCTGAAAATGAAAGCTAGCATAATTGAGTCAGGATAACATGTATAGCCAGAATTGTAAAAAAAATGAATACTTGTATCATTGATTTTTGAGTCAGAGTTCCTAACAGAGTACATGTCACATTCCCAAATATGTTACTTTCTGAACTTTATGTTTTTACAGCAACTAGACATAAAAAGAAAAACAATGATATTGCTTCAAATTCATGAATCAGACTTATTCCACAAATCTAGCTTTCCCACAACAACACTGGCCTAAAAAGTAAATAGCACCTACTACTTTCTGCCAAATGTTTTTTTTTTTTTTTTTCAGAGCAGTGTGACATAAAGAAAAAGAAAAAAAAAATTGCTTCGAATTTCGAACTCTTGAATCAGTCAATCAGACTCAGTGAAACACTCAAGAAAATTATTCCAAAAATCTCACTTTTCCACAACATTTCAACAGCTACCAAACAAGGAAAACGAAGAATCCCAATCCAAAATCTGAGTTTCTTATATCAATCAATCATAGTTGACTTCAAATTCTGAACTCAAAAATCAAAACAAGAGAATTAAAAAATTACCTCATGTAGAGCAAGAGGAGGGTTATTATCACCAAAAAGGTACTTGAAGAAAGCATCAAGGTGGAGACCATTCCGATGAAGAAGAGACGATGCAGAATTGATAATTGACTGTGCATCTTCTCTGGTGGCTTTATCTTGTTTCTGAACATCGATCAGAAACCTGTGGAGATGATCAACGGTCATAACTCCATTCTCTGAGTACTTTTCGAAAATGGTCTTGATATCACGCGGTGCCTCCGATGCAGTGTAACGAAACCTCCGGCGAAAGCAGAAACACACTTTGTACGTTTGCTTCGACATGAAGTAAAGAAAGATACGGATCTTTGGGTAATAATGATTGGAGACGATGATCAAGGAATGAAGTAGGGTTTGTGTGTAAGAATCAGAACTATCTTCTCGTGTTTTTTGAAATCAGACAAGCGAGATCAGAATCGTCGTTTTGCGTGTCGCATCTGCAAAGACAAACAAAGATTTTTTTTTTTCTTCTAGTGAATCTCCTCCATGTAATGTTTAATCGATCTTGAACCTTGTCGGAAGAGATCTTCTTCAATCTCTTTCTCTCTCTCTCTCTCTGATCCGAATATCCCCTCTGGCAAATTCTATCCAGTTGGGCTTTATTGGGTCTTTAGAATTGATAAAGCCCATTAAGCGAGTTTCTAGGGTTTTGCTGTTGTTTTAAGGAGCAATAAGAGCATAATCTACAAAATCTGTCTATCGTCTCCGCCGCTCCTCTCTCTCTTGTAAACAAACATAAACACATAATCCGAGGAACCAAGGGTACATCTTCTGCGAAATCAGCATGAGAGCCAAGGTGAGTAATGGGTTTTGATTTTTATGGAGTTTTAGTGATGAGAAATCGATGTAGTGTGTAGGATCTTTATGGTTTCTGTGTTTGGTTGTTTCAGTGGAAGAAGAAGCGTATGAGGAGATTGAAGAGGAAGAGACGAAAGATGAGACAGCGATCTAAGTAGATTCGGGAGTTGTTTTGTCTTTCTTCTGTTTAGAACCAACTCTTGTGAGAGTTTTGTTGGTTTTGCATTTGCATTTGAATGTTTTGTTGGACCGAATTGAATCTATGTTTTCTATTAGAATTATGTTTATGAGTTATGACATGGAAAGATCCACATGATTTTCCTATATTTTTCATCAATCTGCTTAGTGTCTGCCTAGTGTCTGCCTAGCATGAGTTTTGTCCTGGTGAAGGTCCAACATTTGATATTAGAAACTACAAAGTATGTGGGGTTGATTGAATCCTTTTTCCAAAACGTTTTACTAACCTAGTAGAAATAGGTGTTTGTTGGGGGATTGCAATTTTTAGTTTCATGATGTTCAGATGACTATTGCCACATAGTTTTCATGTGTACATGTGCAATACACCTACCCTAGGATTTTCATTATCATTTTATGAAAATGAGATTCATGATGCTTCTATGTCATTCTGCTGCTGATGATTGTACATTTGTACTGTTCAACCAAATTCTCATAGAGGGAAATTTATCACTAAGTGCCATTAATCGAAATTTGTAATATTGCAGCAAAAATGATGAAACACATTATCACAATTGAGAAAGGATTAACTAGTCATTCTAGGTATTAATTGTTTCCTATATGAATAACAACAATAAGTCAAAAACGGCTTAAGAAATCGAAAGTATGGAAAGATATGCTGAAAGAAAGTACAACTACAACTCGTATCGTATGAGTAAAATGAGAGACTTGAGTATATACTCAAAAATGGATTTTAACAAATTGTAAAAAAAATTGACTCGCCTAAACCCCACAGAATATTACAACGAAAGTAGGTTATTATCCACATTATTCCCAGACAAATTCTGGTCAGACATATAGTAGACGAACACGCCCTAGCAAATTGGGCCGACTCTATGCGTTTCTGATAATTTTCCAATGCGGATATTAGTAGCCACCCATTGGTGGCATTCCATATGGTGGCATGGGAGGCATTCCTGGCATACCGCCCATTTGTGGTGGCGGGCCATACCCACCACCACCTCCCATTCCTGGCATCGGTGGTGCAGGTAAAGCAAGTGGCAATAGTTGGGCGTACATGTTCTGTTTAACAACAAAAGAAAAATATAATAATCCTTTAAGCTTCTTTGTCAAGAGAAAGAGTCGAGATGGTATGAGTGTAGCTGTGTGGTAATTAGTACCTGTTGGGACATAACATCCTTCTCTTCCTGCTCTTTAGCCTTCACCTCTTTTTGTGCCTCCAGCTTGTCCTTTATTAACTCATCCACTTTGCCAGAGTATTCTCGGATAAACTGCAAAGATAAAGCGGGAACAAGAGAATTCATCATAGCGTTCAAATAATGGTTCCAATCTCATCGAGCAGAGAATAAAAAGAGTGTATTTGTGGGTTAGGATAGATCACCTGGAGGAGATACGGGAAGGCAAAGTCCATCATATTGTTGATCCATGCAAGTTCAAGAGCCACGTCTGGTCGGATTAAGTCATAACATACAAACAGACATGTAGCAAAGCATTCCTTTTTCCCCTGTATAATCAAAGCACAGCAGAAGACGAGGTATATTAATTTCATCTTCTCATCGGGATCAATTGACTTTCTGTTCTACTAAATAAAAAGAATGGTTAGCGGTAGCATCTTGTAAATGCTTAACCATCATCATACCTGTTCAATGAAGTACACCAGTAGTTGTTCTGCAAGTTCATGTTCGCCGGATTGTGAAGCAGTTTCCATACAGTCCTTGTACATGTTGTCTTTCTTTGATAATGCAATTGATTGCTTCCATCTGCCCGCTTTCTTGTAGATATAAGCAGCCACACGTCTCATTTCAACAAGCTCGTGTTTCTCGATCTGATCGCACCATTCACAGGAATATTAAATCATCGCACAGGCCATCCTTTTTTATTTTTCTAAATAGAGAAGTTATTAAAGGTGTAGTAGATTTGAACTTTACCTTCTGAGCGAGGCCAATCTGGTCAAAGCTGTCATGTAAATCAATAGACTCTCGCAACCTATCATAGTCTTCTTCTTCCACGTATATCTCATTCAGAGCCTCATTAACGGCAGAGACATTGTTGCTCTGAACTGCAATCATGTATGGCTTGATAAGACGTAAGTGACCAGCCTGAGATCAGAAGAAACCAATTGTTAAGCAATGCAGCTCAGTTGTTTTTTAAGGGAAAAAAAAAAGTCATCAGTCAGCTTCTAACCTTCCGCATTATATCAACAACACGAGTATGGTCTAACCGCAACGCAAGCACGTTGAGAAGATCGTTGATTAGATCAGGATGCTCTTGCAAGTAGAAGTGCACAGCCTTGTAGTACAGTTCAACATTCGCTACCTTGGCAACAATGTCTTTGAATTGCATGTGCTCCCATGCTTCAGGAGAATGGTTCATGACGGTGGTCGCAGCATTATCAAACTCATCATATTGAATGTACAGATAGGTAAGTTCCTGCCAGTGCTGTTGTTCATCACAGGCCCGTATAAGCTTGGGAATATTGAGGCGAGTTGAAAATAACTTGATGTGTTCCATAAGTTTCTCATAACGATATCTAGCATAGAGTACACCCAACTCGGTGAAGATACCCATGTGAGCACGTTCAAGCCCAAGTCCACTCTCCATAAGTGAGATTAATTCATTGAAGCACCCTCTGTTCTGGTAGTACTCGCTGACTTCTTCCAGGTCATCCACCTATTAAGTACCAAAAGATTAACCGGGAAATAAATGAGATACATTGGGCTATAAATCATAAACAATTGAAATCTAAAACCCTTAAGAGGAAACTTTTGTGCTCACTAAGATCAGGTATTTATTCACCTGAATGATAATGTTAAGACCACAGATTTGAGCCAACCGGAATTCCTCTGCATCAACGCAAGCAAAGCAGACTTCCTTCCATGTCTTTGCACTGTTTGCTTTCCTTGCAGCATCAACAGCACCTTGGAACTGTTGCAACTTCACAAGTGTGACGGCTAACTTGCCCCAGTTTGATATGAACGCATATATTATTTTTGCAGCCTCATACAGAGCTTCGTCATACAGACGATCACCAACATTTTGTAGATTAGCAACGTTTGGCATCAGAATGAATTCTTCAATCTCACCTAACCTATCAATCTTTGCATATGCATAGATAAGCTCACTATCAACCTTGGGTTCCTTCACCTTCTGTCTAACCATCAGAAGGTATTTGACCAAGTCATCATAGACATCAGTATCTTCAGAGACACGTATGACTTCCAAGAAATGAGTGGCATCATCAGCACGGATAAAGGACTCAATTGCATCACTGACTAGTCCTTCTCTGAGTTGCGCCTTAGCAACTTGGCTCCAAACAGAATCTTCTTCGACCCGGAATGCAAACTCAACTGCACGCTCAATGCTTCTGACGTTATCCAGCAATACATTGACAGCCTGAACATTTAAGTTGAACTTCTTGAAGATAGCAAATGCTTCCTCATACAATTGGGCTTCAACTGCGACTTCTCCAACCGCAGGTCCATCAAAGTTGTCCAGCCTGTTAATGTAATCCATAACTCTAGATGGATCTGCCTTAATAGCTGTCAATATAAGCAGATTTTGCAGATTGAAGTTTCCACTGAAGGCAGAATTTTGAAGAACAATCTTTTCAAGAAGCTCAATAAGCTCGTGCGGCAAATCAGCAGTCATGAATGCTTTAACAGCTGCAGAAACTTGCTCCGGGCTCTTGCTTTCAGGTAAAGCAGTAGAAACAACTTGGTCAATAAGCTGTCTTCTATAATCATTGTTTTCATCGAGAACCTTATCCCAGAGATCACCATCCATCCTCTCCACTACATACCTACAATTGAAAACTCGTGTATTAGCAATCTACAGAGTCCCCATTGTGAAAATAAGTAAGAATTTTCGTAAGTAATGATAAGATACCTGGCTTGTAACTTGAACAAAGAGTTTTTGTTAGTGACATTGATGAGTTCCTCATCACATTGTCCTCTTCTGTATGCCACAACCGCCAGGGTAGGATCACGTTTCTCGCAGTACTTACCCACGACCTTAGAGTCGTAGTAAGGGTTGGTGGTCAGGAAATGCTCAGGGTTGTTGTTACTGTCTATGATAATTTTACCCAAGGCATTATGGACATGCACATCCTGGCTTCCCTCACTAACTAAATGCTCCAAGAACTGAGTGAGGAGACGGAGTCGATTTCTGAAAAAGCAGAAACATATTAGAGTTTCCAGAACAAACAGACATAATTATGAACGCAAACCAGGATGACCAAAAGGATTCACCTCTTCTCACATTCCTCGACAAGTGGTTCAACAGGAAGCAATGAACGAACAGAGAGAATGAGGCCTTTTATAAAATCTTCGGGGCATTCATCATCAAGCAACTGCCCAACAACTAAGGGAGCATTCCCAGGGTTCACCTTTGAAAGAATCGAACGTATAAATATTTAATATAAAAAACTGAACTCCAACGCATTAAAAAAAGTCCCAAGAAACCTTATACCTTCTGTACGTAACCTTCAATGTAACGAAGCATGTTGTTTGTGTAGAGGTAATGAGTAAGATCAGGCACAAAGCCAAAACGATCGCAGACATTTATCAAAGGTCGTGCATCAGGCAGCTTAGCTTCCATCAAAAAGTTCTTCGTCTTTTCAGCATCATAGAAGTTAGACTCTCTAGTTACACGCTCAACCTCCTTTATTTGACCAGTCTTGGCAGCTGCTTCAATGTATTTGAAGTGAATCTCAGGATCCTCACTATTGCACAGAGAGAAAACATTGTAAACATCAGCATATAAGTACAAGAATCGTGCTTGTTTACAGAAACGAGATCAGATTTTATATATATCACCTCATACTCAAATATGAACCTAGGAAAAAGTATAGCCCTTCGTATGACTTGAACTGCTCAAAGAGCTTAATACATGCATCAACACCAAGTTGCTCACAGTACTCCTTGCAAGCCTGCAATTGTATAGACACGTTAGTGTCAAAATAACCAATAAGATTCATCATATCATACACCACTGACCTGAACAATTATCTGCAGATTGCCTCTCAGGTTGACCAGCAACAGATCCTTCATGCACTCCATAGCCCACTCGCTAGAAAGAGTGCCAAAAAACTCAACAAGAGCCTGCA